AGCTTTCCATGATGGATGAATGATTAGCTGTCGCAATGCTATCTAGTAGTTAGTTGGTGATTGCAGAGTAGACGTGACAACTTCTGTTAGGATGATTGCTCCCACTCTATGTGCTATAGGGTCTTTCTTGTGGAAGTTTCATGACCGCTCTGCAAGTTGCTACTAAATTAGTAAAAAAGGCTCACATGGTATCATCGTACTTGTATTTTGTTCGGCGGTGTGTGTTGCTAGCAGTGGGGAAATAGTTTCATTGATCCTCTCTTCTTGCTTTCGTCATCGGTGTTCACTTTTCTTCAAGAGGGATGATATGTGATGGAGGAAGTTGAGCGGATAGGCGCAGCTAAGATCGATTAATTCTTGTTGGTCGATTTATCTGACATAGTTAGAGTTGATTTTTTTCCATGATCTGGAATTGAAGATCAATCATTGCTTAAAAGGTGAAGAAGAGGCCCATGATGGGTGTCAAACTGTTGATATCAAGAAGTTGAGGTGTGATTTAGGGGAGTTAAACTTGATTTTTGGTCTCTTAATATCCTTTCATGGATAATTTCATGCTGAGAAGCATCAAAAGTTGTTTTCTCCGGCGTGCCCTCCCACGTTCAAGCCAATGACTGTTTCTAGTTAATCTAAAGAGAAAAAATAGAATATGGTCTTTAAGGTTTTTTTGTGCGTACTTGAGAATAACAAAGATGATGCTATTTATAAGAAGTTACTGAATGTATTTTGGTAATTCATCGATTGGCTGACCTGACACTATGCTATTATTTTACACGTGTCTGCAGCAAATTGGTCGGATGTAGAGAACTATACTCACATTATTTAATGTGATGATGATGGGTGGTGGAGTATGAGCGTTGCACTGTTCATCATTAAATATGAACATTGTTGATAAGATTGTTGGTCATTTTTTGTTCAGTTTATAACACATCCGAATAATTCTTTTATCTATATTAATTAATGCGTATAAATGAACATAACCAACCATAGATCATTGTTGTTGGTTGAGGAGAAGTAAATGTGGAAGGCTGCCATTAAGAGTCTGCTCATATGTTTTGAATGAAGTGCGGAGTGAATTTATGAAGGGGAGTACGAGAATTCATCACACTTTATTCAGATGGGATGGAAGTGATGAGAGTGAACGTGAGATAAATTGGCTTCTTTTAGTTTCGAGTAATGAAAACTGTACACAATAATATACTATTTTTATACTAACATAAATAAAAGAGTGACTATGTATTGACTCGCATTTTTTCTTAAAATTTTAAAAAAAGAAATCTACACAACTGTTGGTGGGAGTACAAAAGTAATATAGAATTTGTAGTACAATTATCATTTTTCTTTAGTTTTTATCCTCTTGGGTCTAGGCCCAAATAGGAGTTCGGGTGCATACGATTCAGATAAGGACCTTTTTCCATATCCACTTGTTAATCATAAATATGGATACAAATATGCTTCAGTGCAGAAAATTTATATCTATATCCACTAACATCGGATATAGATATGTATATGCATGCAGATATATATTTCAGTACAAAACATTTATGAAAAAACTGGATAATCTTAAGGAGGAAAAAGCTCCTATGCCACAACAGAGTTCACTAATATGCTCATTATATCTGAAAAAAAAGATATTAGATCTCTTGATCATCAAAATTATCCGCAAATACATTAATCTAAACATTAAATTTATTACAACTGTATAACTAATATATATCCGGATATTTCATATACAATCCGGATATTTCAATGTTTATCAATATCACCCCTGTTGAAGAGAAAGTACTAAGAGATCTTTGAAAATAGGTCTTTTCTTTCTGACTGGGTCATGCAGTATTTTAATTGACATATTCTTCGATATCTTCAGATCCCTTGTCAATATCTCTGTGTGGCCCTTTGAATAATAACTCTTTTTTTTAGTAGTCCGTGTGAGTAAATCTTTTTAAAATAAAAATGTTAACGCAACTGTTATTTTTTGGACTTCTAGACTCAAGGTTAGAGTATAGGATCTTTTACATGATATTAAAGCGATCGAGGTCTAAATTCTACGTGTCGCAAATTTAAAGCAGACTAAAAAAGGATATACTTCCTCTTGGCTTTAGGTTTCACACGTGAGACCACTGTACCAATGAGAATAAGTTACTATGTTAGACTATTAAATTATAACCGTCCATACCTAACTATAGCTCTGAAATTTTGGTTTAGTAGACGAGTAATTATGGTCATAGTATATTATATTTGGTAGTAGCTTATATATTACATTTCTTCTTTATAATCCAAAAAATACGCTTCTACAGCGTAGGCTAGGGGTGCATTCGGTCCGACTATGGTTCGGATATGATACTTAATATATCCATGTCCGCTTACCCATCTTGGATAAGAATACAGATACACATATACCTCGGTAAGGAAAATTTCATATCTATATCCACTATTATCGGATAAGGATATGGGTGTATATGAGGATATATAAGCGGATGTACATGCGGGCACAAAAGGATATGAGAAAACTAGATAGTATCAAAAATATATATAGTTCATGTGATACAAATGAGTTTATTAATATGTTTATTATATCTGAAAAGCTAAGATCAGACATCTTCAAAATTAACCTCAAATCCGTAATCTAAAGATTGAAACTATCGTAACAGTATGACTAATATGTTTTCGAATATTTCGTATACAAATCATGGTATTTCACTACAAAACAATATCCGTAACCATATACTATCGATTATAGATTTGAATATCCAGATCCGTATCCTAACGGATACAGTTATGTATACTTCCTCTAATACGGATACGGTTTAGCACTCCTAACTTAGAGTTTTGGAATTTTAGAGTTCAGCAAGACCATGCATGTGATGGTTTTATCGGCGAGGCCTTATGAAAAAGTTTTGAAAGTGCAGTGAATGCCCTTAGTCGATGTTGGGCCTTTCACGATGACCTAAATACGCGTCTTCAAAGCGCAACCTTATTTGTAGGCCACTGAGTTTCTCAACCCTCTCGAGACAAGAACAAACATTAAATTTGAACCATCATTATTCATAATATACAAATTATTCACTGGCGGAAAGAAAATACTATCTAGTAACTCTATATCGGTTTTTCTATAGAGTGCCCATGGGCACTCTATAAGAGAGGAGAGAGATAGAGAGAAATGAATTATGCACAGAAATTAGTGCAAATCAGAGGGGTCCCATGAGCTATTCATTCCTCTCTATCTCTTTCCTCTCTCCTCCCTTATATATAGAGTGCCCATGCGCACTCATAGAGTGCCCATGGGCACTCTATAAGAGAGGAGAGAGATAGAGAGAAATGAATTATGCACAGAAATTAGTGCAAATCAGAGGGGTCCCATGAGCTATTCATTCCTCTCTATCTCTTTCCTCTCTCCTCCCTTATATATAGAGTGCCCATGCGCACTCTATAGAAAAACCGACTTTATATATATATCTAAAAAAGAAGTAGAAAAAAAAAATCCTTCCACCAATAAACAAAGACCATTAACTTCGGCTCTTTTTCATCGTACACTTCCTCCCAAGATTTCTCTCTCAAGTTCAGGCCCTTGAACCATGATTCATCGTACAAGAAATGGCTTTGATCAATGGATGAGATACGTGATGATGAGCGCGACAACCATTAGTGTGTAACCTATAGCTTGATCCACTGTCTTCCCTGCATTGCAAAAGAAAATGACAAATTTATAATAAGAAAAACAAGTTTGATGAAGTCGCAAAAAAAAATTTCACAAATAGCGTGCATCGCGAAGAAATTGATACAAAGCTAATACAATCACTTGACACAAAGGTAGAAAATTATAACGTGAGTTTATATGCCATTTGTCTTCACGTTATGTATCGCATCGCAATCAAATTTTTTACCATGTCTTGGAATTGAGTTTTAAAGAAAAAAAATAGAAGTTCATAATGAAGGACATGAAACTTACCATCATTATCGGGAGCAATTGACAGAGGTGAAGGAGGTAGAAGTTGAGCGTTGCACGAGTAAGTCGATAAATAGAACAATAAGAAACAAACAACAGCGCTCTTGTATTCCATTTCTCCGAATGAAATTTTTTTCTAAAGTGATGAACTATAATGTAATCAGAGAATTTCCTTGAAGAACTAAGGAAGTAACAATCTTGAAGTACAAGAACGGGACAAACATTAAGCTTCCTTACTTATAAAGAAGAAACTTTTAGCTCAGTATGAACGCCCCAGAGTTCGTTATATTGACTTAAATCAATTTTTGTTATTGATAGATTATTACAATAGTGATACGTGGCAACTAATTAAAGGAGGTACTTGTCCTATTTGTAACAATAAATGTTTTGACTTTGTTCGAACCGTCCATGAGCCCAATGTCCACCATTTTGGTTCGGGTCAAATCGAGCGGAAAAAATTTGGACATTTGAGCGCGTTGGCCTGGATGGTTCCCAATTGATTTAATCCGTTGAATTATTCGATCGGACGGTTCTCGGCTTCAGTTTGTGTGATCCGTGCGTTGGGTTCGTGTGCGTTTAGACTTTCAGAATGTCAAAAGGTTGGCGAGGGGATTGACAGTTTTAGGTGGCATTCTCTCATTAATGATCGCTGGTTTATGGCCACCACTTCAATTATTTGGGTCAATTTCGGACTCGAGCTTGGGATGGGAATTTTTTCAGTTTTATTTTGTAATTAAATTTTCTGGGATCGAATTATTAGTGGATATTATTTAAGAATGGTTGCTATATTATGATATTAGTTGGGATATACCAAGGTAGGTGCAAATCAAACATCAAATGATTTTTCCCCCCGCCTTTTATGGATTTCACTGTTTTTTTGAAGAATTCTATCACGTTACCTAATCTCCGTGAGATTTCAAAGCAACAGGTACGATCTTTTTGCTCAGCCGTTTCCATTACCCGATTTAGGACACTCTGAAAAAGAGAGCGCCAGCTCGTCAAATATATATCAGCCATATTTTGAAAACTCCTACACGGAATAGCATACTTCATAATATAAGGTTCCCATCTAAAAAAAATTTCAGTTAAATACAGCAATTCTGTTCAAGCACATCAAATATTCTCAGATGGCAACAAGTTACCATAAGCTTGACGCATACAACAGGAAAAATACAGTTCTTAAGCTTTCATTAAGGTCTCTCTTAACTAAAATTTTGAGCTCAATTGTACATCTCCTTCCCTCATTTCTCAAGTAGTAGTACCTTTAACTGTCTGTCAATTGTAAATTATACTTACAAGTTCACAGTAGACACCAGCAAACCACCCACAAGTAACAAAGTGCCATTTCCCTCTGCATCTCTCTCTCTCTCTCTCTCGCTCAGGACGTATAAACCTCAACGCTCGCAGTTTTAACAGCCAAGCAAACAGGACAAGCACCAACAATGCCATCACACTCTCTGCACAGGCACAAATGCCTACAAGGAAGCAGCAACATACAAACCTCCTTTCTTTTACAAACCCTGCAATCCCCAATTCTACTCTTTTGCTGCATTTGCTGTCCAGTATTGGGCTCATAGGACGAAGCAGCATCGTCAACTTCACTGTTATCTCCACACCCTTCTCTGCCATGATCAGCTGCTCCTTGAGCAGCGAGGGCTTGCCTGAGGTTGTTCTGAAGAGCGTGGACCATTGATTCGTTGTATCGAGCTCGGTATTGCCAGTTTTGGGCATCGGTCGCTGCTTGCTTGATTCGATCTGCTAGGTCTCGGTTTTTCCTGTTTATATTGTCGATTTCCTGTTGTTTTTCATGTAGTTTTCGGTTTATGCCTTTGTCAATGGTGGTTAGGAATTGGGTGATGTGCCTCTGCTTTAGTTCTTTTACTCCCTTTGCAAATTGTTCTTCCTATAAAAATAAACAGTATACAGATGGTAATTGTCAACATAATGACATTAAGACTTTGTTATAAAAAATCACTGAATCTAGGATGATCAAAGAACTCCCATGTAACATATCCCTATCACTGGTAAAAGAAGATGATAACTCTGGGGGTACAGTTAGGAACAGCATCCCGTGAAATTCATGAAATACCAACCAATTAAACATAGAATCTTGAAGTCACAACAAAACTGCAAGGTTTTAAATAATATTTTCGTACTGCTGGTTTTGCGACAAATATTTGTTGATGGTTTGAGAAAGGACAAATCATAAAGGAAGTACGTCATGCATTTAATTAAGAAATAGGAACAGCATCCCGTGAAATTCATGAGATACCAACCAATTAAACATAGAATCTAGAAGTCACAACAAAACTGCAAGGTTTTAAATAATTTTTTCGTACTGCTGGTTTTGTGATAAATACTTGTTGACTGTTTGAGAAAGGACAAATCATAAAGGAAGTATGTCATGCATTTAATTAAGAAATTGGAAAGATAACATATAACGTGCAGATAGATTTTTGATTAAAAAGCCTTTTATGCCAAAGACATCATGATCATGATCAATCAGAAACTTGAACACATGACGAATGGAGTACTATACACCAAGCTTTTACGCCATCATGTAAAAAGGTCCAGGTTCCTACCGCTGGTTATATGCAACAATGTTGATCCATTAACAACTCATTGCAATGTTCTTTTCTCACATTTGTGGACTAATAGAAAAAGTGAACATCCATTACTTTGTTAATCAAGGTAGATAATTTTTAAACTTAACATCAAAACATATAACAGGAGCGATGGCATCTGTTACTTTGTACTCTAGGTAGATAATTCTTGAACTTAACATCAAAATATACAATAAGAGTGGTCCAATCCTTATTATATCCACTGACTATCGAAGAGGATGTGATCTGATTTCACAGTATAAAACAACAGTAGTTAAGATAGAATTTTTGCTATACAAACACCTTTACACTGCAAGCAATGGAGTTGGTTAAAAAATCTGAAGGTCAAAGCTCCTATATGGTATTTTACCAAAGATTCATACCTGCACTCTGATGTAATGATCAAATTCTTCCTTCTGGCGCTCAATTTCATTCCTCAAATTATCACCAAGAGACATGACAATCGGAAGTGAAGGCATGCTTCCACTTGCAGTTGTGACAGATGAGTTATGCTCATCATCATCATAAGACAATCTCAACCCAGTCGACACAGCGTTTGGATTAGGGATACTTGCTGACCTGTCAGTCTCATCTTGGTAAAAATTATTTAATGAAATCTGAAGCTTGTGCTGCATAGCAATATCTTCTGAATCCCTGCTTCTTTTGTTCGGTCGGTTTAAAGAAGAAATATTATTGGTTCCCATATAGTTCGTTGGATCAACATTACATGCAGCTGGAACTGCAGAATGACACAACATGGTCACAGCAGATTTTATCTTGTATCAAATATAATTTATAAGTTCTGACAGCTAAGTTGGTAAACAATTAAAATTTTACATATTGATACTACAAGAAAAAGGAAAAGATGATAGATTTGGAAAGCACATAATTAAAACATATCAGTGGTCTAGCAGCAAAAGAATATCAATAATCATCATTACTTAGCTTCTCCTTCATATTTATAATGGGCTCGGGTATACAGCATAACTCAAAGTTGAGAAAGCACCAAATTTGGCCAAAGCAACTGAAGAAGTCAAGGCTGTGCCATGAAAAACCACGACAGCAAGTTCATTGAATGATACATCTATCCTTCTCAGTCATCCTTTTGAGTCATGCAGTTAAAATCCCGTAGGCAAGGAGTAATCTTCCAAGTTTACTTAGCTAGCAAAGAGCCTAGAGATGAGACAATGGGTCAAGAAGAATTTGCATTATGTATAACAAGACACAGGACTAGCCAGCAACACATTTGGATGTTGGAAGCACATCTTGGAATAATCAAAACTTGATCTGAAACTTGGCTCTCAGCTAAGTTAATGTGTTACTTATGATTAATTCCCAAAATAAACAATCAGCCTCTTACAAGTGCACGGACCAAGAACAGTTCAAATCAAGACAACTATTACACACTACTCTGCATTAGTTGAGGACAGCAGATTAGTATCAAAAGAAATAATATGTGATGACAACAATAGCACTTCAAAAACAAAACCTAATAATAAGAAGGTAAAGTGAAGCATGCTACTAACAATAATCATGTAACCACCCTTATTTGCTCTCAATTTAATCATACCTCTCTTGCTCAGTAATGATGTCAAAGAAGTATCCGCGGATAGTCAGATGATAGATTATGATTGACCAAGTCCGATTATTAGATCAAGAAACGAGGCTGTATAAATTTATTTGTAAATGCGACCACAAGGATACTTCTACAGTTTCTAGAAAACTAGCATATCAACCAGACCACTGACAGCCATATTTTCCATCATATGCAAGTAGTTTCACTACAGGTAACATTGTTCCATCTCCTTGTAATCAGCGTCGACTCAGAATAACCATGAACTAAGACGAAATAAGCCAAACACGGGTAGATAATTAGATATAATAAACATTTCGAAAACAAAATCAAAGCATGAAAATGAAATGAAGCTCAAAAGTAGAAGTATCTAAAATGTATGATTTTTACAAAGAAAATAATCAGTAGCTAAAGCAATAACCCAACAAATTCAATGGATTGATGTGGTGAAGACAAATCATAAAATACGGATATTAAATTATTGATACTACAATTTTAAGAATAAATGATCTCAAGTTTCTCAAGCATATAATTTGTATACAAAATCTCACACTTACTGCTGTTAAACAGCTGGAGTTGGGTTGTGGATGCATTAGAATTATACTGGAGCTGATTCTCATCCAAAAATATTGGAAATGTTGGAGTACCATTATTACCACCATACATTTTTCCTTCCCTGAAATTAACATCAAACACAGCCAACAGACCTTCCTCAGAATCCACTGGAACAAAAAGACTGCTGGTTTATGAAGCAAAAGCTTAATACCTTAAATTTACAACCACCCTATGACTGCCTGATCAACAAATAAAAATAGAAGTGTCAGTTCATCGTACCTTAGAACAGAAAAGTCTATAAAAATTTTCTGTTCCACAGCTAATACATAAATAAGCACTTAATGTCAAGAATGTTAAGCCAAATTACACAAGAAAATAAGATAATCAGATTTCCTCCGAGAAGAACCCCCTTTGTATCACAGCCATAACCTGACAACTATATTAGAATCTAAAACAAACATCAAAAGCAAAAAAAGAAAGTTTGATTATCTCAGTGAACTAGTGAAGTATAAACCAGATTAGGGTAGGAACTTCAAAATCAAGACACAAAAAAAGGTAGTTGTCTTTCTATGTCCTATTGCCTTTTCGGCTGAAATGAGAATGACAGAGCATGACTAGTCTATCAAAACCAAAAACTTAAGAGAAAAATAGACAACTCTTTCCGAAGGGATGAAAGTAGAATAATTGCTCATATATATACAAAAAGCCCAAAGTAAACACTTCCGATCTGTCAGCCCTTGGGGAGTTACCCCTGCGATCATATGAAATAGAGAAATCCAGAATTGCTTAAAAGAAAAGGATAAAAATACTAAAAAATAACATATGAAACTAGAAAGTAGAAAGATCAGATCATTTTCACGAGCTGTCTTTGATCTGATAGAACAGTAGAAAGAATAAGGAAAAAAAATGAAATTCATGTCATTGCCTGGAAGCTCTTAAATAAATTGTTCCGAAAATCAATCCTAAAATCTACAATTTAGTTGAGCTAGGTCCACAAAGATATTAAGTTGATCAAAAAATTGAAGTCAACAGTTTAGGATGACTAGCTCAATAAAGACATGAAATTTGTAAAGAATTTGGCTAATGAAATCTAACATTTCCTGCAAACACCATCAGAATTGTCCAAAATATTCACAAATAAATGAATCATTTATCAAGTTCTTTTTTTTCCCAACAACAAATGGAAATATCCTAAATCCCATAACAAACAGTCTGATTTCAAATTGATATAAAAATGCAAAACATCAAAATTTTCGCAGAAATGTCAAACAGAGTAGACATAAATATGCACTGCAGATAAAATTTAAAACGATACAAGCTTGATCCATAAACACAATCCAATCTTCCGCAAATATAGTATAATCATTGGCTGAGGTCAACAATTTACCCCCTTCAGTCCATCAATATACGAAATTGATCAAGGAATCATGTGCTAAAACCTAAACTTTTCATCAAACCTCACCATAAACATGCAGAACATTCAAAATCGCCTAAATAATTTATCACATCAAACAATCTAATTTCCAAATTGTATCGACCGATCCATTAATTTCTACATCGATACATCATCTCAGAAATCTAACAGAACTTCAACACGTAACCCGATCTGTTCAAAAACTAGAATCATCGAGATCTACGATCGTCAATTCTTGACTATTAAAAAAAATCCAACAAAATCGATCTCAGATACAAGAAATAGATTAGATTACCGATGATGATCGTTGGCCGCCTTAGAACTCAACGATCAAGAGGAGAAATGGGAATTTTGAGCTCAGGATTAGGGGGTTTCTTCTTCTCCTTTTTTTTTTTTTTTTTTTTTTTTTT